TCTAACGTGAATTGTCTTAGTCGGAAAAGGTGTAACGTTTCACGTTTTTGTGATGTCAAGTAAATTCAGTATATCACGTCTTAATAAGTTTCACTCAAAAATACGGTTAGGCAGTGATGGCTGGGTTTGGATATGCGGGTGCCCTTTTGCGCGGGGCCCGTAGCAATTGCTACTCTTGCTACGTGGTTAATCCGGCAATGGTTTGGGTAGGAATCACCATATTACGTACTTTTGCCGGCAAACAGCAGTGCTCGCACTACTGTGATCCCGTCTGAAGATTATAGGGACTGGCTTCCTGTACCCTTCACTAACTAATGCGAGCCCCGTGTTATAATTACAGGCTGTGATCCATCTTATCGTAGTCCTCAAGGATGACAACGCATCTTAAGACTTCTTTGTATGAAGTAGGCTGCAGATGTACATAGACAGGGGCGTCCATACATGATGATGCTGGGTAAGCACCATCTTGTTTCCAGCCCTAGTCGCCTCCTTTGACTGAGTCTCTCGATCCAGATTTTCTGGGAAGGGCGATCAGCATGCTTTTTCCAGAGGACCGGTCAAGTCTCTCAGGTCACCTGCAGTCTTCAAGGGTGTGGCAAGATGAGATGAGGTGGCCGTCGAAGAGCTGGACCAAGCCGTAAGCTGCTTAAAAGCTCAGAACACAGCACCGGGGCCCGATGGAATCCCAGACCAGGCCCTAGTGCCAAACTGAGCTGTTTACCGGCTGTCTGTGTTGTGTCACGTTTCTCAAAGCCTGGAAAAAGGCAAGGCTGTTCATCGAGGGGTTTTGAACCGGTAGGAGTCCGGCACAACCTTCTCGTTGCCCTTGCAGCAAAAGGATTTCCCCCACGAAAAGAAGGTGTCCATAGACAGTACGAGTAACCAAATATCAAGTAGAATAAGTTCCTTTGTCACTTGTTTAAGGGAAATAGGTACAAGCCTTTTATTGTGCTCAGGGGTCTAATTGCGCGTTGTTAAGACATGAATATCCATTTTTAATTTTTTTGCCTGTTTATCTGTTCGTCTGGGCTATATGTTATAAGATATCTGGAAATATCATCACAATCGGTCCAGCTATTCCCGGTAGCTGAACCGATTGTGACTACAACCACATCTCATCTTGCCACACCCTTGAAGATTCTTGGCTCTTCGGATTACTGCCTGATCCGGAGCACAGTGCCCATCACTTACTCATTGCAGGCGCGATCGGGAGGCAGTGTGGCACTATAGGTCAGCGAATTGGGATCCAGCGCGCATCCAGCGTTGTTTGCATCCTACTCATGGTGGCGGATTCGCTACACGTTGTATGATCCCAAAAAGTCTATTTGCGCGTCGTTAAGACATGAATATCCATTTTTAAATGTTTTGCCTGTCTATCTGTTTGTCTGGGCTATATGTCATAAGATATCTGGAAATATCATCACAATCGGTCCAGCTATTCCCGGTAGCTGAACCGATTGTGACTACAACCACATCTCATCTTGCCACACCCTTGAAGATTCTTGGCTCTTCGGATTACTGCCTGATCCGGAGCACAGTGCCCATCACTTACTCATTGCAGGCGCGATCGGGAGGCAGTGTGGCACTATAGGTCAACGAATTGGGATCCAGCGCGCATCCAGCGTTGTTTGCATCCTACTCATGGTGGCGGATTCGCTACACGTTGTATGATCCCAAAAAGTCTATTTGCGCGTCGTTAAGACATGAATATCCATTTTTAAATGTTTTGCCTGTCTATCTGTTTGTCTGGGCTATATGTCATAAGATATCTGGAAATATCATCACAATCGGTCCAGCTATCGGGAATAACTGGACCGATCGTGATGATATTTCAAAAACATATAGGCAAATAGATCGACTATATCAATGTCAGAAGTACTACATTTTTTTTGATACTTCTTCCCGTTGCCAGTTAAGGTATTTTACAACTGGTATAAATACAAGCAGGGGCAGATTAAATGTCGATAGCGCTTTAAGGCGGCTCTTTACGTTGGCCAACATAGTGGCGAATGTGTTGGCAAAGATATTAGCCACGAGTTTGTGATGGCGATCGAATGAAGATGAATATCGTTTAGTTTGCTTCGGTTCAGGCCAATGTGCGGAAGAATTTATTAAAATGGATATTGAGGCGCTAACGGCTCCTGCAGTTTATTTATTCACAGCATATCGCTACGACGTGAATGTGTATAATAAAAAGGTTATCAAAACGAAATGGAAAAAAATAATTTTATTTCTTGTGTTCCACAAACAATTTTTAGCTTAGTATAAAGCGAAAAGTTTCTTCATTAGTCATTGTTACTGCCATTTTGTAGACACTAGTTACGACGCGTGAATATAAAATTCAAATCAGGTGCGTGCGATCACTCAGGGAGCTCGTAGCAAGCTTTCGGTATACCTATATTACTCTACTCTATGTAGCAAACTAATCGTGCGCCCAACGTATGGACGTGGAGGCCAATACTCTGCCACAACCCTTTGATCTTTTATAAAAATCCGACACTACACGGATATCGCGCATACATACCAAGTGAAGCACAAACACCCACTCTACACGATGGGCATCTCTCTCGCACTTTTTCTTATCTTGCCATGAAAGAAATATTATTTTAAATGACGCTTCATTTTCATAGACGCTAGTAATTCATTTATTTGTATTTGTTAATCAATAATATAATACATTTATCAATAATAATATACTACGAAAGGAACTTCGTTCCACCTGAGTGTTCAACGGCACGCATGTTTTTTTTAATCACGCATGTTTTTTGGTAAATAGGTACTTACTGAATATCGTTTTCGTTTTAAAACTTCCGAGTGCGCCCTTTGTAACCTCGCGCCTCTAGGCACGTGCCTAGTTTGCCTTAAGGATAATCCGCCACTGAATACGAGATGGTTATGCTGTGGCGGCGTAGGGGAATCCACTACCCCCATATTATTCCGTGAGTGTCATATGAGGCGACAGAGAGGAACTGAAACAGAATATGGTCAACAGCATCTTCCTTGTCAACTCGCCTGCCAAGTGTGGTAACTGTGGATAAATCCAGCATCGGATGAGCTGCAGCATTTTCCTGTTATACATTTAAAATAATAACTGCGTTTATCACTCCTACGAAACGATCAATGAGGAGGTTTATGATCAGCAATGGTTTCTCTTAGGCTGTAATGATAATACTGGCAGAACAAGATTTCAAGCATTACCATTAATATTGAAAAAATATTTTATTTAGAAATAACTGAAAGACGCCAAAGTTTGACGGCTCCGTGGCGCAGTGGCTTAATAATGAGTTGCAGCGCTTGGGGCCGTTGGTTCGAAACCCGCACGGAACAAGTATTTGTATGGCCTATAAATAATTGTTCCGGGACTGAATTTTTGTCCTTTTGCAATTTATGTTTGTAAACTGCCTCCACGATACAGGAGAAAATTCTAGTGTGGGGGTATAATGTTTAAAAAAAAGATAAAAAAGAAGTAAACATAATATATATTTCTTCGCATAAAAATGTACAGTACGTAAATATCCATATGACAATACTTATACACTGAAAGGGTATACTTTAAGTAATATTATAAACTATGTCTATGCATTTCGTTACTTTTAAAGTAACATAGTATTTTAAGCATATATGTATTATGACATTACTTTGGACGTTTTTAAACCACGTTATAATACAAAACCAAATTTGAAATGACAACATCAATCTCAACATTTTCCAGATCCTCATAAAAAATAACTCTTAAATAATTTCGCATTGTAAAAAGAACAATCTTTATTATACGACAAATTGTAATAATCTCGTTGGTATTCAAATAAGTATTTTTACACTTCTATATTAAAAAAAAAAACCTTGTTTTCACTTTGATATTAAAAAGTATTTTCAAATATTTAAAACACTATTTCTACTTATTTCTAACTGTAATCGTCCGGCACATAAATATTATAAATTAAATTTAATAGAAACTTTTATTTACAAACGCTTATTACTAAATAAAATCTACGTCTAACTAGAAATAAAATAGTGCAATAGAAAAAATCATAGTGAAATTGCTATAATATATTATACACGTAGCATTGTATTGATGTTAATTATGAATAAACCCACAAATTTAAACATTTAAAATACATAGTTAAGCCAAAACTATTACAATGTATTTAAGTACACTTTTCCTATCGTAAGCTAAAAGTGCTAAATGTATAAAAATATTGCATAAAAGTAGACGTCGTTTATGTTAGAGATAAAAACTAAAGGTTACGTGTAAAAATGTTATTTACAGATATTATTTAAAGAATTTATATAATTAAACAATAAAAACATACAATAATGAAAAGACAATTTTGTAAAAGTTTGGGTGTTATGAGATTATTATAATATTTATAACTAATTATGTTAAAAGGAGCGAGTCTTGAATTATAGCTAAATTTATAGAAAAATTAAAGAGATTCATATTAAAATTGATTAAATAAGAAGAAAAATTAAAGAAAGGTACAATTTTATCTACACTGTTATTAAAACACGCATTGTTGTATCACAGCTTATACCATACATTATTATTTAATATTAAAAATTATAATTATATTCTACAAATAAAAAAATATAAGCTTACGAGTATTAGGCAATGGACGGATATACATAGATATAATACCTTTATAAAATATGCAAATACAATTAATTTATAATTCTATTATTAATCAATTAATTATAAAAGTAATAACATTAATTTAAAGAAATCGGCTTTATCTTTTAAATATCTTACTTATTGGAAAATTAGCTAACAATTAAGTATTAACATGATTACTTACTAAGAGATAATAGAAATGAGTTAGTAACAAAGTTTAACTTTAAATCTAAATAGGCATGCACGTGGATTAAAAAAATATTCAAGTTTCTTATATTAACTTATTTTGTTCTTTTTAAATTGGTCCACTATAATTGCACGATTTTTATATACATTGTCGCGCTACTCTGAAGATTTTTTTCCAAGATATTTTTTCTCGTTTTGTTGGTCACGTGTAGCAATTATCTTCATCGGCGTGATCTGAGCAGTCAATAGTTCCATCACACAGTTGTGCTAACGTTATACATCTGAAATATAATTATATATTTATCGAAAGTGCAAAGCTACGTTTTAATAAGAATTTTGTCTGAGCCTTAAGTAATTGCGTAATCCTAAAGACAGTTCATTAAATGCCGCCAGATGAATAAATAAATAGACAAAATAAATAGCGCCATCGAAATTATTTCTTGCCAATCCATCTTACATAATGATAAAATGCTACTGCCGACCATAAACTTTATAGTATAAACTCTATTCTAACTCGTACTCGACATACATAGCAAGAAGCTTGTAGCAATCTAGAGCGATGTTTAGGCAGAATATTCCGTGTCGTGGAGGATATTTTTGATGTATATATATATATGTATAATTTAAGTAGATACTAATAAAATCTACAAAAATGAAATGAAATCTGATATAGTCAGAACTGTTTTATTGCAGATATAGAAATAAAAAAGAAGGAATTGGTCTGGAGGAATTATGTCTGACATTAGTATCGGTGTCATCCACCTGATAGAATGTGCTATTTTAGCTATATACGAAATTATAACTATATAAACGAGCTATATATACGAATTCGGACTCAATTTCGGACAATTCGTCACTCTAAGTGACATGATATTAAATATGAGAATGTTAATTTGTTAGAATCTAAAAGTAAAAATTTATATATAAAGTGGTTTGTATTACCCACTTTAAATAGCTCTATCAAGCTGTCAGTAAAACGTCAGCACAAACCTGAATTTTGCAGTTGAATAGTTGCTATACTTATAGAAAAAACTGTACTTATAGAATGTAGTCATAGCTTTTGTTGTTGGTCAGAAATTACATTAGAGGTACTCAGTGCTTTGGTTTTGGTTTTGGTGATCCACTTTTCTCCTTCTGCATGCTTCTGCATGAATCTTCGCGGAATTTCATAACGCTTGATTATATTATCTTGACATGATATTATCAGAATTGTAAGATGTATACGATACGAGTAAGAAAAACAAAAAAAATGTGACTGGTTCCTAACTGCAGTCGAAGCGATGCAGCGTTGGTAACGTTATTCATGACTTTCGGTTCGGTTTTTTAGGTTTCCTACTTGTAAATATGATCGCATGATGGGATCAGTGTGCCGAGTAACAACGGTATAAGATGATCCGCTAAATATCATCCCGTGGGTGTCGTAAGTAGTGACAGAGAGAAATGATACAGGAGATGGGGCAGCAGCATCTTCCTCATAACAACTCAAAATAAAGAATAATTAAGGTTGGCAACCGTGGTAACTATATGAAATATTCCCCGTATTAGGCTATCTATGAAAAAGGCCTATGTTCAGAAGTGGACCTTCAATAGGCTGTAATGGAATGGAATTATTAATATTTATAATGGATGGCATCAATACGATTTAGTATCAAGATAAATTTTACGAAGACATGAGTTTTTATAGTCACCTGCCGTCGACGCAGCGCAGCTCGCCGCTGGGGCAGGGCGAGGCGTGCGCGCTCAGCGAGCCCTGCCCTGTAGGCGACGCCCCTCTACTTGAACCCTCTTCAACTGTGTCCATTCTACCTTCAGAGGATTCGCCGATCTCTTCCTGTGCTGCGGTTTCTGCTTTCTGTATCGTTGGACGTTTATATTGTAATTTTAACGTAATAAAACGTTCAGTCCATCAGCGGGGATGAGTGGGGCTTCATTATGAATAACTTTTTTTAAATGCAAGTATCTGCTCGATTGATTTTTATTTGGCGTTAGAAAAAATATCATTTTCTCAGGGATGACACATGTCTAGATAAAGTATATATTGTATATTAGTTTTGATAAATGATTTCAGTATCCCGCACACTTCCCGCAGCTATTAAATGACGTTTCGTGTACTCCATTGCAGCTGATACAGTTAACCGTGTATTTTTTATTTAAAATTTTATAAACATAACATTTATCAATTTCTAAACAAGGGTGCTAGACAGAGAGATCTTCTTTTAATCTAACGCGGCAGATGGATTATCAATAGACAGAGTGAATCACCGGATAAAACAATCTTAGTACATACTTTTTTTTATAAGATAAGGGTTACTAACGAGCACACAGTCCACCTGATAATAAGTAGTTGCTGTGGCCCATAGACATCTACATCCATCCTCAATTCCGAATCAAAATGCAGATGCGTTGCCACCTCTGAGGACGAGGATGGAGTGCCTTATTACTAGTAAAAGGGGTCTCCGGTTCTCTATACTCACCATAAGAAACACAGTAGAGTTAAGCTGCTATTTTACGCTTGTATTCTGTGAGAGCGTGGTTTTTCCCCGGTCGAGCGGACCCATTCGTGCTACAACTATGCTACTAATATGGCTGCAGCGTGGCTCTACCACGTATAAAACTATAACTTGAAGGGGGGTTCCTATTGCGACTGTTACTTTAAGGTATTTGGTAAATATTATTTAATGATCTTAAAAGATACGGAAGAACTATTTTATCATAAGTGTGGCGTGAATATGCCCATAGAAAATAACATCTAAAAATCTAAAGTCAGTGTTCACCCCGGAGGCCTAACGAACAACATGGAACGCCTCCTTACCAATGTAAAGGTTCTCCGATTCACGTTACTTATGTTACGAACTTACAAAACACTAAATCAATATGTTGCTAATTTAAACTAGTTTTCTGTGCCCTAAACGAGCCGACTCATTCATCAGTATGGCTTTACCACGTTGAAAAAACCGTTATGAAATTGGGAAAAAACAATTGCCTGGAAATAATCTGAACATTAAAAGAAATTACTTACTTTTAACATTGCGGCTCCATCTATAACCCTCTCAAGATTGTCTATAGATTTATCAAGATGAGTTGTTACCATTGGGCTCGATACGCCGGACATTTCTTTAGTATGGCTTTTACTTGTCATCTTGTTTACTGACGTACGCTTGGAACTGCCTGATCTATTTTGCGTTCCTCTTCTCCCACTCATTTTATTTGTTGAATCCATTTTATCATTTGTGACGGATTTAGAGTCGTGGATAATTGGGCGGCTGTAAGGTGTCAGTCGTGAGGGCAAAGGTCGACGAGTAAAATTACGTGTCAAGCCATTATTGCTATCACTGGTAATTAGTAGCTCTTTGCTGTTTTCACCTTCTCCTGTATATAAAAGGAATTCATACAAATGAACTGTTATAATTAGACATATGTAATGGAAGATAATTGAATCAGGTGTTTAATCTTACAGTGGCGGCTTGAACTTATATTCAAGGAAATTCGAGGTAATATCCGAAGGAATTTATGTTATTGAAATTACTGAAGGTATTGTCTAACAATCTCATCATTAATTATACGGTATGTAAAATATCCGTCGACGTTTTTGCTAGTGATAATTCACTTTGCAAAAGTTGCAGCCTATTTACGTCCCTCTGCTGGGCACAGGCCTCCTCTCATTTCTGAGAGGGTTTTAGGGCAAGGAAATGTCCGCCGCGCTGCCCCAATGCGTGTTGGCGAACTTCAAACGTCTTCGAAATATTTTTTTTCTTATATCTCAGACATCTAGGTTTCCTCACGATGTTTTCCTTTACTCAGCACTTAAAATTGCAATTAAGAATTTCATTGGTGTCGGCGGGGATCGAACCCGGGTTGCTCGAGTACTGTGAAGCTTATAGCGAGCGCTAACTATCTGAGCTACCACGGCTCATTCGCTTTGTATTAAAACTGAATTGCTTATTTAAATTAGTATTTACCGGTTTTGTGTTATGTTCGGTAGTGGACTTTAATGGGCTAGATTAATAAATGAATGATGACGATGATGAAGACGAAGATACAAAGACAAAGCTCTCGTAAAATTGTTGCACGAAGAATACGTACCAGTTCGGTGTATAGAGACGTCGGGAACGCGGTTGGGACGGCGCACTGCCAGTGCGGGCGCCGAGCCGGCGGACTCCTCGCCGGGCTCGGGATCGTCCGCGGCCTCTCGCAGCCGGTGCTCGCACGTGTGTTCGGCCTCGTCTTCGCCATCGGGGCAGTCCGAGTAGCCATCGCACAACCAGCGCGTGCCGATACAACCACCGTTACTGCAGCTGTTGAGAATTAGAATTTTGCAATAAAGTACTACTGTTTTATATATTTTGCAAGGATTATAATATGTGGTTTGAGAAATTTAATTACCAAAAGAGTATACACTCACTTACTGAGAAACTTATAAGAAAAAGCAAGTAACATGTACTTTGAGTAGGTATAATATATCTGTGGATTTACGTTAAGTATTAAATATTAATATAAAATCTTGCACAAATTATAAAAAGCAGAGAGTAGTTCCAAAATATTTCATAGGCGCTTACTAGTAAGAACAAGCAAAAACAAAGCGCAGCGCATTCCATGAACATTTTATATTATGAGCTCGATGGTACATACCGGAACTCGTTTCGTGCACATACAGAGCAGTGCGTCTCGTCCTCAGCGGCTGGACAGTCGGGCGAGCCGTCGCAGGCCCAATGCCGGGGCACGCAGGTCGAATCACCGCACGCCAATTCCCGTTCACTGCACGGTGACCGCGCTGATGCGCAACCGCTCGTAGGATAACGCGTGCAACTGAACACGTTACCCAACTCACGGGGAATCGAACCCTCGCAACTCTCTGCCACGGCTGCGTGGTGAAAATTTATGTTTAATAATTAGGGCATCCAAGAGTTTTTCTGCCACCAGGGCGGCGCCACTTAAAAATGAAGTGTAATATTTGAAAGATTCATAGCGGGGAAAGTTAATTTGTTCGTAAAATGTAAAGTTTAATGTTTCTTTCTGTACCATTTTTATTTATATATTTAATAGTTATATTTTATATTAATTAGATTAAAGATAATTAAACCAAATCGCACATATTCATAAGAAGGAGAAAAATTAAAGAGTTAAATGTGCAAAAAATTTAACAGCAAATCACTGAGACATTGTTTTATGTATTAATATGATACTGTAGGAACTGATAAACTTTTATTTAAAAGTTACTTATTAATTAAATGACATTGTGTAACTAAAGACTTTACGTCAGAGTCAACTAGCGACACCTGGTGAGTGGAGAATTATTAGCCCTCATTGTAGCGGCGTAAGAATATCCACTTCCCCATATCGTCCCGTGGGTGTCGTAAGAGGCGCAGAGGGAAACTAAAACAGGAGATGGGCAGAAGCATCCTTCTGATAACAACTAAACACTGCGGTTTCCAACTTACTTGCCAAATGTGGCAACCGTGGCAAAATCCCCTCCATGTGGCAATTTATGGGGGAGGCCTATGTTCAGCTGTGGATTTTTGATTAATTGTTACTGTTATTTATTTGTTTATTCTTGTGCAGTGGATTTTTTACAAGTTGTTAAGGAGCATAAGGAAAGTATTTACAAGCTGTTAAAGTAAGAAAAGTAAGTAGACCACGTGATTATCACAATTGTGATGTTGATGTCTTATCTACCCAACTAAATTCGACCACAGTAACAACTACCGGGAATATTTTCATTTAATATTTTTTTTTTATAACGTTATCCCTGTACTGGAAATGGCTCCTGTATCGAAGACGTGTTTACAAACAGGTTCAATATATTTCCGACCGTAAAAACGTTTGTTTGTTAGTAACATAGTACTGCACGCTGCAGCTGTGCTATCATACAGTAACTGCAACACATGTGAGTCTCCTTGATCGGGAAAGGACAATACTCCCATAGTATAGACTTTAATAAAGTAGTATGATACACATATGTTTCGTATGTTAAACGACATCGTGTACATGAACGACAACTGGGTACCGTTTTTACTGGAATCAAGCCATTTCATATTATTCATCGTCATCATCAAATCAAAACGGCCAAGAGGCCTTCATTCAGCACATAGGCCTCCCACATGAAAATAAAAATAATGGTTTCTATTTCTATTTCTAAAGATTGCCTTATCGGGCGGATATTTGCCATAGTTGCCACGCTTGGCCGGCGAGTCGGCAACCGCAGTTTTTTTATTATTTTGATTTGTTATCAGGAAGTTGTTGCTGTCCATCGCCGTTCATTTCCCTTTGTCGCCTCTTACGACACGCCCGGGATGATATGGGGTAGCGGATTCTATAACTCCACCATTACTCGGCGGTATTCTTACATCGAGGATTAAACATATGGACTACAGCAATTGCTAGCAATGAGATGAATTGTTTGATCGTTAATTCGTAAAATATAGGAGTAGGCAGGCACTCATATTTTCCTTTCCGTGACGGATGTAACGCTACGCAAAGCAATAACGTTGGAGATACGGAGGCTTGTATGAAATGCAGGAATTCTTTAACTTTTGATATAGGCAGAAAGAAGTATCATTAAATTTATATTATTTTCCCATTATGAAGAATGAAATTTTTCTGGCTATTCCATTTGTTGTCTCGTAAGCGTAAGATACATATTTTAACGCAAAACAAAATAATATATTAACTATTGTAATATATTGAAATCTAACTTCTATTTCCTCTATTTTAAGTAAATGAAAAGAAACATACCTCGGCAAAAGTTGTGACATGGCATCTTCGGTAAATACGGCGCGGGGCTGCATTCCGGCTCTAGAAGAGCGCAGAAGAACTGTGCGACACGATCGCTGCAATTAGTCGACACCAAGTACTCGATCTGCGGCAGCAGTTTAGTGACGTCCACACCATCCAGAGTGATAGCAGGTCCCGCCAAGTCATAGGGAAGTACGCCTCTACATAGAGCCAGTCGGGTCGAACGACATTGAGTAACTAAAAGAGGAACGAATATTTAAACGTTATTAAGGTACATAAATAAAAAAAATCCTCATAATAAATAGCTTCAAAAGTCGATACTGACAAACAAATATCTCTAGTTCAAGGTAAAATTAGAATTTTGTTTAAATAGGTAGGTACATCAAAATCCAAAATTCCCTATTTTTCCAAATTCTATCTTTAAGGATGGAATTTTACCTTTATATTTTTAAGAGACCTCTTTTGAAGTATAAATTATTTTATATTTTAGTTCAGTCTTTTCGGACAATTCGAGGGACATACATAGAAACTTCTTGTTTTTTTTGTGTTCGGTTAAAAATAAATTATGCTTTCAAAACTTTACATTTTAATCCCATAAATCGAAAATTCAAATCTATAAACTCACTCCTTAATGAAGAAACTTCATGATATATATAATATGTCGAATTTCTATCACCTACGTAAAATAGCCTCTGGCAAAGATATCCCTGTCAGAAAAACGCTGAGTTACTCGTAATTCCATATGTGTTCAGTTTTGATAACTTTGACACAAAACACTCAAATAGTTTGCTCTTTTTATCGAAAATATCGACGACTTAAGTAACTTATTCATATAAATTACGATTATTATACATTCTGAGAAAGTTAGTTTGAAATACGATTTACGAGGATCAGAGCAGTCTTTACATTCTTTAGCATTTCAATTATTGTCTTTTACAAATACACACTAAGAAACTCTAAAGAAAGTTAAAAAGACGACAAGAAGTTTATTATTCTTTGTTATGCCGTTAATTGACAGATACTTTAAAGTTTAAATTAAAGTAACTATGTAAATAAGTTATATTACTGTAAACTTTCTATGTAAATATTGTAAGAATGAAAGATAAAAGAAGAGTTAGTAAGCCTCCCAACATTTAGTTGCATAATTATATACATAAATTCTTATTGTTAAAAAAATTAAAACATTAAATATTAGTTTGATATCACTTAGCCTGATATTATTGTTAGACGCTGCGTAAAATAAAGTAGGTACTTACCATCTAGATTCACATTTAAGGGATAGTTTTTAGTGGTGCTATCTATCCTGTCACGCCATGTTGGTAGTGTAGGAGAAACCCGGGTGTTATACAGTGAGCTCTGAGTTGTCGACTTCATATTTTCCGCGTCCTCTATCGAAATGCCGAATAGTTTTGAGTGACCCGAAGTGAAACGATTGTTCGGATGTACAGCAGGATTGAGGATGTAGTAATTGTGGATTTCTGGTGCCAATTCAGGTTCAATTGATTGTTGCTTGAAATTACTATCGCCTTTTCGTATATATAAAGAAGAATCTTTATAAACGGGTGAATAACCTTTATTTGTTTCCTCTTCGGCTTCCTTCGTTGTCTGTTTTTCATCGTAATGCAAAACATCGTTGTTGGTCTCTGCTCGCGTTATAGTCTCTGTTGTAGTAGCAACTACTTTTCCCTCATCGAAGTATATGGCAAGAGGTTTCTCTGGACTTTGAGTTATGTGTGGTTTCAAAGTAGAGTCGTCGAATTTCGTATCTGAATTTTCAAATAATTTAGGTGTTCTTAACTTTTCAGTGTCAGCTTTTTCGTTACCATATTGCACTTCAGGAGTTATATGTGTGGGGAAAACTGGTGGGATAGGTATTTTTATTTTTTCACTCTTTTCTGTGATCGCGTCGATTAACGATGGAAAATCAACGCTTTTTTCATTTACTGGGTTGTAGAAATCGATTTCCTGTGGCTTCGTACCTGTATTTTGTAATTTTTGTAAATGAAACAAAATGAAGTTAATACTAAAATAATAATTAACAAAATACCTCAATTTACATAAATTAGAAGAAATATTCATAGGAACATAAAATTTTATCGAATATGAAATTATGTTTTCTGTAATGTTTTCTTATCAAAATAAAAATATTTTAGGGAATATTTTAATATAGATTTCACCTCACAAATTATATCATGTTATTATATTTATATTTATTTGAAGACTATGATGAACAGATATGTATGTATATGTTACAGTCAGAACTTTTTCCAGGTCCAAACTACTTTTGGCTGACAAAAGCCGTCCATGGCACTTTGCAATTGCAAACCAGATTTTATGACAATATTAATTTTTCCTATAAATTACAGGTAAAGAATTATTTTCTAAAATGGATTTACAGTAAACCATTTGTTAAACATGCTTTTTTTTACTACATACACCTGAATCAAAGTAATTTTAACTAAGTAGGTAAATACTAGTCTTGGCCAAAACTACTTTTAATCGATATTTTAGTAGAAACCGCTACTAAAATATCGATTAATCAATTTTTGCAGTCAAAACAACTTTCCACGAAAATATTTAGTTAAACATACTTTTGCCTGTTTTCAAAAGTAATTTTAACCGGGTAAGAGTTTTGACTGTAATATATAAAATTTATCCGAGAGACAACCGCGGAGTAACAAAGAAATTTCATATAATCATCCTTTGTGGACGTTCAAAAACGTGACTAATAAAGCATAGTGTGGCAATCGCCCTCCATATAAGCAGTGCGAAATGATCACGGTATGTCTAAGACGAAGTTAAACTAAATTTCAATAACTTTTATATACAATAAAAGTTTTACAATAAGGACAAACATTTATATAATGCACACACAGTGAAATGTGCAAAATGGAAAGCGCACACACACAGTGTTTATGATATTATCTGTGCTAAATCCATAATCAAGTGTCTTGTATATATATGTATGTGATATTCTTGTTCAAAAAAGTTAGCACATTAAATATTTTAATAAGTAATTAATTGCGTACGTAAAGTGCCTTTTGTTGCCTGTTCGACGTGTTCTGGTGATTTGCGGCTGGGCTTGTCGGGGTTACTACGGGATTGAGCGTTTGCATTATTCTCTTCCCAGTTTGTCGCATTCACAACATCGAACCCTGAAGAAAGATTATCTGAAATATAAAAACAAAATGGTCACAGAATTTTTAGTGGTTTGCAATCTTAGAGCCTGCTAGCTCGACGGATTATCTTAAAATTTCACGATCAAACCGAGTTCGATCTTTGCCGGCACCATGTAGAAATCTGTTAATGGCATTTTTAAGGATCGATTCATAATGTGATCGGCGGTAAAACCCATGTAGGTTTTGGTAAATAGTAGATGGAATCTTTGGCATAAAAATAATCCTTCCACCTACGAATAAATGTATCGCTCGCTTAGTAATCACACTATTACTACCTCAGAGTGGCAACGTGATAGCCTGTCTCGCAACTCATTTAATTATTAAGAAGGAATAGTAAAAGCTCAAGAATTACAATTTCTTGAACTACTAGATTATCATTGTGTCAACTTTCTTATTCCTGTATAGTGCTAGCAGTATTCTAAGATATAGAAAAAAACAATTTATCGCAAGTACATCTAGAGAAAGTGCGTAAGAAACATCACTTTAGTGCTTAAGTATTGAAGCGTTGCAAGGCACATCAAGCATGATGTATAATTAAGGTCAAGATTCTTTTAATTACTACTTCCGACTGCAAATCAAAAAGACGTTGGCACTGAAATAGTTAAAAGTTATTATTGTGAGCTCATCAAGGTTATACATGCCATAAAACCAATATGAAGCTAATAACTCTTAATTTTAATTTAAACATTAAAATACGCTGTTATCAGTATGGTAATACGGTTGGCTGAAGAACATCGAATTGTAAAGGCGTGTCTTCGTTAGTGCATTCTATAGATAAATGTCATAATACCCGAGTTTGGCAAGCGGAGCAAAGGTCGTAGAGACAGACATTCCATGTCATCAATCAGTAATCATATTCGTGTATATTTAGTTCAAGCTAGAATAATAATGCTTGAACGCTTGTGTTACATTCAAATTGTGCCAATTTAGGTGTATTTTATCTACTCAAATTGACCGTAGCTCTCTATAGTAACTATCAATTAGTAAAAGCATCGTAGAGATCGTGTTATATAAAACTGCTTCCCTTGTATTTTTGGTACATTTGTCACATTTACCGTATTATAAGTACCATTAAATATATATTTGTGCAGACTTACTAATGTGTTTTAGGAGATTTTAGCATTATTATTATTTTAGCATTATTATTTTGAAGGACCTGGAGGCGAAGTATAACTTCGCCTCCAGGTCCTTCAAAAGAGTTATTGCCAAGGCAAAGTCTGAGCACATAGGCAGAATTGGCGAGAAACTAGTTCGCCTTCCTTCGGGAACCCGTGCATTCTGGTCTCTCGCCAAGGCTGTCCAAGGGAATTTCTGTAAGCCATCACTACCATCTCTGCACAGGGAGGACGACTCACTGGCCCACGACGCAAAAGAGAAGGCCGACCTTTTAGGCTCCCTTTTTGCGTCCAACTCGACTGTTGATGACGGGGGGAACACACCGCCGACCATCCCGCGGTGTGAGTGCTCTATGCCGGATGTGCTATTCTCACAGCGCTCGGTTCGCAGAGCACTCCTCTCCCTTGACATCCACAAGTCGAGTGGGCCTGACGGAATCCCCCCAATTGTGCTGAGGACGTGTGCTCCGGAGTTGGCACCGGTTCTAACGCGTCTTTTCCGGTACTCCTACTCCCATGGCGTTGTCCCGAACTCATGGAAGACAGCTTTTGTCCACCCGATCCCTAAAAAAGGCGACCGCTCAGACCCGTCCAACTATAGGCCTATCGCGATCACCTCCTTGTTCTCCAAAATAATGGAATCCATTATTAACTGCCAGCTCATCCGGTACCTTGAGGATCACCAGCTGATCAGTGACCGCCAATACGGTTTTCGTCGGGGTCGATCAGCTGGTGATCTTCTAGTCTACCTGACCCATAGATGGGCGGAGGCAGTAGAGTCCAAGGGGGAGGCGTTGGCCGTTAGTCTGGACATTGCGAAGGCCTTCGATCGCGTTTGGCACAAAGCGCTTCTTTCGAAGCTCCCTTCCTATGGGCTTCCCGAGAAATTGTGCAATTGGATCACCAGCTTCCTTGCAGATCGGAGCATCAAGGTCGTTGTAGACGGTGCATGTTCTGACTACAAGCCTATTAACGCTGGTGTTCCACAAGGCTGTGTGCTATCACCAACGCTGTTTCTTCTGCATATCAATGATATGTTGCTAACTGGTAACATTCATTGCTATGCGGATGACAGCACTGGTGATGCTCTATACACCGGCCGGGCCAATATTTCTCGGGAAAACGTCGCTGAGTACCGGAACAAACTTGTGTCTGAAGTCGAGTCTTTGCTGGACAAAGTCTCGGATTGGGGGCGACTAAATCTAGTCCAGTTTAATCCTCTGAAGACACAAGTTTGCGCGTTTACCGCTAAAAAGAACCCCTTTGTCGTATCTCCTCAGTTTCAAGGCACTCCCCTTCTTGCCTCAGCCAGTATCGGTATCCTCGGAGTCGACATATCGAGTGACGTGCAGTTTCGTGGTCACTTGGAAGAGAAGGCCAAATTGGCCTCTAAAAAGCTTGGCGTGCTCAGCAGAGCGGGACAGTATTTCATGCCGGCACACCGCCTGCAACTTTACAAGGCGCAGGTTCGGCCTCACATGGAATACTGTTCCCATCTCTGGGCAGGGGCTCCCCAGTGCCAGCTCCTTCCACTTGACCGCATCCAGCGCAGAGCGGCTCGAATCGTCGACGACCGAGCCCTTTCCGATCGGCTCGATTCATTGGCACTGCGAAGAGATGTTGCATCTCTTTGCATTTTCTTTCGCATCTACCATGGGGAGTGCTCTGAGGAATTGTTCGGATTAATCCCAGCCGCCAAATTTCAAGAACGCACATCGCGGCAGAACTCCCGATACCATCCACACCATCTGGATGATTGGCGGTCCACCACTGTGCGATTTAGAAGATGTTTTCTTCCTCGCACGACTTCCTTGTGGAATCGATTACCATCAGCGATTTTTCCGGACCGATACGACTTAGGGACCTTCAAGAAAAGAGCCTACTCCTTTTTAAAAGGCCGGCAACGCATCTGCAATTCCCCTGGTGTTGCGGTTGTTCATGGGCGGCGGTAGTCACTTACCATCAGGTGAGCCGCATGCTCGTTTGCCCCCTCTCCTATAAAAAAAAAAAAAAAATATTTGAAATCATAAAAGTGATAAAAGCTACCAATAATGCACAGGTCGTGCGTGCAGTTATAACTAAAATGATTGATACATATATTCCTTTGGAATATTAAGTTCTTTTTAAATCAATAAAAATATTGATGATTCGGTCGAATTTGGACTCCGGCAATAACTTTTTATTGTGAACTAGTAATTGTACCGACCGTAATTGTACTGGTGTGAGTATGAGACTTTACAGTGCCACAAGTGTATCCGTAAAATATACCTGATTAACTAGCCATCTGTGTTTACAATTATATAAATGTTGCTGGATTTAGAACCTTCCAAAAATATCATGTATAACTTCCCGTAACATGATAAGTACGAGTTGATGTTATGTCAAGTTTGAGAGACACTATAGATTGAACATTTCGAATGTGTTAAATTAAGAAATAAAGATTATACTGAATAAAGAAGAATGCCCACGTAAATGCAGTGTAGCTATAACTCATCGCACCAAATAAAACCGTTTGCTAAAATGAACTACGAACGGAAATTTAAATCATTCAACCTTATTTAGCCGCCTGTGTTATCGTCAGAAAGATGTTTATCTGAAGTTTTGAAATCAAACCTAAATTTAAAATTTCGAAACATTAATTTCACTCAGAAGGAAGCATCTGATCTTGCACCCACTCATCAGTAGTGAAGCCTTATGGAGACACGGAGCTAGTGAAAGTCGGGTTCAAGATGTCAGCGGCGCACCTCCGCGGAACCGTCAGCATTATCGTCATTAATCCTTATCGCGGTTGCACAATCTGTTTCCTACACTAATGAATCCAGTTCGGTACATAAATATGTAGTAGCTTTTCAAGTTTACTCGCAGTCGTTATCTTAAAATTAATTTTTCAACTCCATTAGCTGCTCAAGTAATTATCACAAGGTGTAAGGAAATACTTATTAATAGTAGTAACTAGTAATCATGATACAAGACTATGATCTCATTTGTTTAGCATATTCTTAACATTTTGTGCTTGAAGAAGAAATATTTCTTCGTGTAAATTATAGTTATAAAACAAGAACTATGTATATAAGACATCACGATAAAACAATAACAAGATGACAAGTTGTATTCAGACTTTCTAAGTCCTAGCTTAATCGAGTCGAGTCTGCGATAAAATCGGAGGTAGGTTTAGATGAAGAGATACGGGGGCAGCCGGATACTATCTTAAATTTGTTTTTTTTTTTTGCAAATAATCAAAAATGTTGGCTCTACAAAGAACTTAAGCTAGGATCAGGGACACCATAGCCAGCTATTATGAACAACACATAACACTATTATTGTACCGAGAGATGACTAATAATCCCCCAGTCGTCAAAAAACATGATTGACGCCGTCAAATGCAGGTATGTTATTTAATAATGACAGACATATTATACTTATACTTTGAGGTTATTTATATTATTAAAAAACTTACAAAGTTCCGGTACCTTGATCAGCATTTAACCCTAACAATGGTTGCGCTTTTTTAGTTTGTAACAAATTATTATAATTTAACATTAAAAATTTTGTACAACAGACTACAATATAAAATATTAAGAATAACTCAAAAACTACTGGTTAGGTCTTAATCAATCTAAATCAATTTATATGGGACCACATGTGAAGCACCAGCTTTCAAATAAAAAAGAATCCTCGAAATCGGTTAACCCAGTAAAAAGTTATGAGGTAACACAAAAACAAAAACATGCAGTCGATTTGAGTACCGTCTCCTTTTTGAAGTCGGTAGAAAATAAAGTCATGATGAATATTCGGATTCTTCGTTGCTATGTTTCAACATGTGAGTGATTTTTGTCTTATTACTTTATGCATTTGAACAATATACAGGGTGGCCCA